CCCTTTCTTCCCCTTCCTGACAATCCTGGAAGCACGTGCTGATAAAGAAAAAAAAGGAGCATAGAACCACGAGGTAAAAGGAGCCTGGAACATTGAGGCTTCACGGGAGACAACTGCCCTGAAGAATCATCTGCACCCACAGTGCACTTTGTGTGAGTAAAAAGCAAGCTTTTGTTGTGTTAAGTACTGAGATTTTTGGAGTAGATTGTTACTGCAGCATAAGCTAAACCTACCCTGACTTTATCATATGCAAATTATCTCAAATACTTTTGGACAGAAGCTAAGTTATAAATACACAGGCAAACACAGAACATATTTCTAACAAAAGCCTATTGGAGAGAAAAAGATATGCACAGAAGTGCATTTATAAGATATACTGTCAACCTACTTTGAGTTCAAATTTATTCTTGTTCAAGTCTGATCACCAGCCCTTTTCAGAATCAACGTCCCGACATTGTGTTTTCATAGTCTGCTTTTTTTTTATTGAAGTAAAATACATATAACATATTTATCATTTTAACTGTTCATAAGTGTATAATTCAATAGCATTAAATATATTCAAAACTATCTATACCCAAAACTTTTTCATCATCCCAAACTGAAACTCTACCTATTAAATGATAATTCCCCCATCTCTCCTTCTCTCAGCTTCTGGTAATTTCTATTTTACTTTGCCTCTATGAAATTACCTATTCTAGGAATCATACAATATTTGTCCTGGCTATTTTACTATGTATAATTGTTTTTTAAGTCCATCTATGTTGTAGCATATATCAAAATTCCATTCCTCTTTATGGCTGAATAATAATATTCTATTGTACGTATACACCACATTTTATTTATCTGTTCATCTGTTCATGGACACTTGGGTTGTTTCCACATTTCAGTTATTGTGAAGAATGCTACCATGAACACTGGTGTACAAGTATCTGTTTGTGTCCCTACTTTCAATTTTTCTTGATATATACCTAGGAGTGGAATTGCTGGGTCCTGTGACAATTCTACGTTTAACCTTTTGCGAAACTGCCAAACTGCTTTCCACTCAGCTTTGACTTTTAAATCAAAGTTCTCAATTAGGTAACAGTCGTGTGAAATCTTCAGTTGCATTTTCCAGGAAAATATCATTTGTAGACATCATCTACTGTCCTATGCAATATCCCTATGCAAAATCCCAACAGGGATATATTTTTAAGACTTAGGTACTGGGAAAAGGCTTATACTTTCTCCTTTCTGATAATAAGAATTCTAGTATCATCAGGACTCTGTGTGCCGTGAAGCTTGCAACCAAACTTGAAGCTTGAACGGTCATTGTTAAGGGGCTCCACCACAATTCTTGGGATCTCTGTACCACATCTGGGCACACTAGCCTTACTTCCAATGGCCAGTGCCTATGTCTTTGTCAGAGGGCTACCCTTGGGCTGTCCATGAAAATCAGGCTGGAAGTTCCTGGGAATTACATCCCAGTACTCCCTCTCCCATTCCTCCCCAGACAGCTTTTAACCAGTCATTGACAGGTGTGGGCGTATAAATACCCCAGCTTCCTTGCCTGGGATAATTCTGGGTTATGAGCTTTGGACTGTTTGTAAGCTCCCACTTGTGATTAAGTACCAGTCGCCCACTAGGGAGCCTGCCTTAACAGCATACCCTGATTCGACCTAATCTCCTTCCTTGTTTTCTTCCTTCTTCACCTACCTGTATCCCTTGCACCTCCCGATAAACTGCTTGTACCCTCATGCTTGGCTCGAGGTCTGCTCCTGAGGGAACCCAAACTAAGACAAAGCTCCTCTCCAGGAACTTCGTAGCTCCATTTGCTTTCCGTTTTTCTGTTCTTTTTCCTGGCTCTGAAGTTTTATTTACATGTTATGATTATTTTACTACACACTTTCTTCTTGTTTGCTACCTCAAAGTCTTTGCAGAATAAAGCATGGTGGAATTAATTTTTAGAAGAAATACACTACCAAGTAATGTTACAATAAAAGGGCTGGCCAGTTTGCTCCGTTGGTTAGAGGGCGGTATTATAATACCAGTGTCAAGGGTTCAGATCCCACCAAAAACAAACAAGCAAACAAGATTTGCCCATAAGTAATGTTACAATAAAAAACCACAAAATATAAATGGTTTATAGAATATGATTCAAATTTAAAAAAAAAAGTGTATGTAAGTGCATGCATAGGGAAAAAAAGACTAGAAAGTAATGCACCAATAATATGCATTGTTATGGTTAGTTTGAGTATCGTCATTATAGATGGCTTAATTATTTTCTTTATACTTTATTTTATAAAATGGGAATAATCACGCCTTCTTCCAGGAACGTGTTGACTGAAACCAAGTGTGAATGTCACGTGGCAATAAGCTGCATTACACACTTACATAATAATCATAGTCACAGCATGTGCCATTATTACAACAGCAACTAATGAAACAATGCAGAAGGAATGCTAGAAATGAGAAAGTAAAAATAAGGCCACATTTATAGAATGCTTTGTACTTTTTAACTGAGCTCATGTCCCTCACCCTGCAAGATGGGCAGGATTGGGAGAGGGAGTGGGCAGGAGGCAGGACTAACATTTACCGAACAGCTATGTGTCGTGCCGGATACCATGGCGGGCACTTTGTAGACACCTTGGATGAGAAGGATGGGCTCAGAATGGTTAAGAACTTGCCCAAGACTCAGAGGTGGGACCAGAAGCTCCAACTGCAAACTGAGTTCGCGTTTTGTTCTAGTCCACCATGCCACATTATCGTATTTGCATCTCAAAGCCCGTGTTCTTAGTGCCCAGCTACCCATGACGTCCTCAGCTCCCACTGCCTGTTCACCAGATCTTACACAGACTCTGCTCCTTCCACCTCATGTCCACGAGCTGCACCAACAGCTCGTTTGTGAGGACGGTCGGGAGGATTTGGCCCCTCAGTTGTCCATCAAAATCACCCCAAATAATCATTCCATCTAAATTAAAATCCTGTATTTGCTACAAAAACTCAGCAGATTCAAGGTAAGTTCCAAAGCGACACCTCCTAGTCAGTTTGTTCACCCCCCATCTCCCTACATAGACATTCTGGAACTGTCTTCTGAGATCTGGGAGGTGAGGTGGGGAGGGACTGTGCAATACTGCTAAGAGAGTCCAGCAGAGAACGTGGGCTGGGGCAGAGAACGTGGCGGGTATCACTCCACCCCCCTCAGAGCACCAAGTCTGGTCATCGTGAAACATGCCATGAGGGTTTTTCCTGCCAGATACCCAGTTATTGTGGAGCCATCATGGCCCGCTGACAGGCAGGGTCACCTGGGATAGGATGGGGGTTGTAAGCTGGGCAGCTGAGCACAAAGCACTTGAGATCAAGTCTGCGTGTCCCTGATCATGCTGGTCCTCTCTGCCTCGCCTCCTACTCGCCAGCTGAAGCCTGGGGGCCTACACTAACCTTGGGGAGCCTTTCCTGGTGCATCAGGCCTGACGTTGATCTCTTCTGCACTTTGTGCTCCTTCTCCTGGCAGAATGTCTATATAACACAACCAGGCACGAGAGCTTCAAGGTTCACCTTGTCACCCTGCCTCTGTGACAAGCTCTTCCCAAGAGCACAGAGGCCATAGTCACGGAGCACCCTGCACTGAGTGCCACTGTGAGCCTCTGTGGCTGCTCTAGGTGCTCTGGCAGCTTGGATGCCACTTGCTTTCTCTCTGCCTAGCCTTCCAAAGCACCCTTCCCGCTCTAGCTCTCTTTTTTCCTCAAAATTTCTACAGCATCTTCACAACTCTGTTATCACTTCATTACGCTTCAAGGGTGAACAATCTTTAGTGCGGTGGAGTAAAGACTCTCTTTTCCTTGTGTTGGGTAACACA